GGCGTATACTCCCTCCGTCTGGGTTTATTAGACCACCTTGTATTTTTGTCAAACTTTGACCATCCATGAAACTAACAAAATACAAATTATATGATAAAAAAACATATTGTTGGATTTGTATTTGAAGGAGGTTTTCCATAATATAATTGTTCTGACATATAGTTTACAATTTATTAGTTAAATTTATGGTCAAACTTTAGCCCAAAATGAAAGGGGGCCTAATAAACCCGGCCTACTACTTGGAAGCCTTATATTGTTGTTTCAGTAAAAAGTTATCTCCCAAGCTTATCGACTCTGTGAGCACTTCTGCTCGCTCTCTTATGCCTACGCATTATTTTTCATACTCAACGTGCATGCTATTCATGTAATCATGCTTTTTTTGTCATTTTGTCACAGGATTACACAAGGTTCTTTGTTGCTCTTCAATAAATGCCTCTTGCTTGAGGTTGAGGTAATTTTCTTTGCTATGTAACTAGCTTTTCTGGATATAATATTTATATCTTTGCACTGTTATCTTCATTAGTAATTTTCCTTCTTTAAGAAAAAAACTTGTATTTGTTGAAGTATATATGGATTCCCTGACCTTCTCCATCAGTTCAAACTTTTGGTTCTACTGGTTGGTGCATAAAACTTATTTGATCGCTGAAGTTATTTGATCTTTATGGATTTTCTGTCAATTCACATAAAGCACCGAATAGAAAAAATGGTAATGGCATGACCTCGGACGCGCCGCTGATTTGGCTCGATCTTTCACCGCAAGACAATCAGATATCAAATCATGGGGTCAATTCACGCAACCTGAAGACGAGGAAACAAATCCAGCAAGCAACGTGGAGATGAACAACATGCCTCTAACCTTGGCACAATAATCCTTGATCTCACAAGAACCTTCACGCAATCATGAGTTTACTTGATAACCATCAGCGCAGTCCCCGGAGGGATGATTCACCACGTGAACACAATGTTCAAACTCAATATAAAATTCGACCTCCTCTAATCTGGGCGCACCCCTATGCTTATATAGGTGAGGGGATGGCCAGGGAAATAACACAAGCATGGACCAGAATTCCAACTATGGTCCGACCCAGACTAGATACAAACCAACCCCAAAGGGGTTCGGCCCAAATTATGCGCGCAGGCTCAAATACAACGTGTACATACTTAGACATATAAAATCTAATCATTGGCTGTCCCATATGCAACGCAGCAGCACCTGGAGCTAGACATGTTTGGCCTCGCCTCCTCGGCTAAACTGAAACAATTCTTGTGGTGTTCTGAAATTGGGCTTTACCTCCTCCTTCATGGGAACAGCAGGAGGTAAAGGGATGCCCTCATAAAAAAATCCACAATTGATTCTGTTTAAAATATGTGCTTATATTTTATGACTATGATACATAACTGGGCAGATCATCCTTCTTGACCTGCACATATATACTTTTTATTCTAGAGTTGTAGTAAATCCCATTGCTTATTTATTTTCAGGCAGTTAGAAAGTACAGTTCGTTCTCTGAGATGCTGCAAACAGAGACGATCTCAAATGTCCTTCCTGGTATTTCATCAATTGAAGAAGGTACTTTGTTTCTTACGATCGTACCATTGTAGTGTTGCTTGTGCGGTGTTCCATAACTGGATTAATTTTCATGAAGTCTGCACCTTTGGTCACCCATGAGTTAATCCTTTTAAGAACCTATTTCTTTACTTATTATGGTGCATAGCTTATTTTGGCACTTGCCATGCCCTGGCTTTCTTACAATGCTTTTTTCTAAATTAATCTAGGCCGTAGTTAACAGTAATAACAGTGTAAGTGTAACTTTTATATAGAGCTGTACTACCTTGGTACATATTTCTTATAAAGCTTTCTGGACCCTGACAGCCTGCTGTGAATCCATGATGCGCTGATTGTTGTTGGTTTGGTAGGCACCTTAGATAATAATTTAATTCAGCTCGAAGGGTGCATGCTAGGCATGCTACCTCTTTAATCTTCAGACTTTATTGTACCACAAAAAACACAACTGAGCTCTTGTGATATGTTGATGGGTACACATTTCTGAAGCATCTCAAGTCCATACCCATGTTGATATCACATATGTTCTTTCTCACTAGTATTATTATCTTTTTGATATAAAAGGTTCTATATGCAGCTGTAAAGGACCCCTAGACAATCGACTAAATTATCTGCATATACAGGTGTCAAAGTTTATAGAAAATTCTACACAGAGGAAAAGGAGAACTCTTATGGAGTCTTGGCAATATCTGTCTCAAAGCCGCAAATCCAACCTTACATAACCATGACTGAGCTTCTTGCTGTGAGTGGCACACTTTAACGTTTCATTCCACGTTTCTTCTGTTTGTAATGTTACCAGATCATTTATAATCATATTTATAGCGACATATCTTTTATGGGGCATACAAGGCTGATATATCTAAATTCATTATGTATGTACTCCCTCCGTCCCATAATGTAAGACGTATTTTGACACTGTGTCAAAATATGTCTTACCTTATGGGACGGAGGGAGTACTTTGTAAATACACATTGAATAACACTAAGTGTCACTATTTATGCACTCAAAACAGCCAGCTCGCTTACCCCTTTGGCCTTTGCATGTCAATTGCAAGCTTTGTAGCTTGGAGTTTTACTGAATGTTAGTTAAATCTTAATGGCCAATAATATTTGTATTAATTCATGTTCTGGTTACCATAATTCATAAATACTCCTTCAATCAACATCTAAAAGGCCACATCAAAATTTGAGCTCAACTTTGACTGTAAATTTGTCTAAAAAATACTATACACATGGCACAAAAATTATGACATTGGATTCGTATTCAAAGGGTTTCCAATGTATAATAATATTTGTTGTATATGACTCATATTTAATAAGTTAAATTCGTGGAGTTAAGCTCAGATTTCGAGGGGGCCTTTTATATGTGGGATGAGGGAGTACCGTTTTTAGATCCGTTAGTTGCTTTAAGTTGAATATAATCACATATGGGCACTTGTACTAGGTATGTAGCTGGTTCTGTGCTTCGTGAACTTATCTCTTGTTATTTTCTAGGGATTGGGTTACGATGGATTAGGTAGACTCCTTGGTCTGGCAAACACATCAGGAACAGTTCCAGATGGACTGCCTCCTCCAAAATCCATGTTGATTTCATCTTGTATGAAACTACACAAGCCAACTGTAAGTTCAGCTTTAGCAACTACCTCTCAGTTCTATTGAATGCTGCCCCATCCAAACACTTTGCAGTTCTTGAATATTACCAAGCTTCCACCTTGTGAAATTTCTCTTGTAACTAAGAATAATGGTGTTGCATTGTACTGGAGGTGAAAAGTTGTTCTTTAACTGATGCTGCAAGGGCATTGGCCAAACATGTTCACAGGAGTAGGGATGGGTGGTGGGGCTGCCTCCATGGAAGTGGTAAAGATGTGTTCCTGCTTAACAATCATCAAGTTGAAGACTCGCATTATGGTATATTTAGTTAAAAGTATTTATCTACAGATCCAAAGAAGAATCAAATTTCGTCTGAAGTCATTGACCGTTTGTTACGTGAGGGCTGTTGGATTAATATTCATCTGACACAGCCCAATAGGCCTGTTTTTGAAATTCGTGTGTATGAAGGTTATGGTGCCCGATGGTCTCATGATGGTTTGAAGGTACATCTATTAGTTTCTTGTTCCTTTGTTGATTGTGCTGGGCTCTAATATAAAAAGTGACGCACCTCAACCCGCATGATAATTTTTCTATTATTGTTTTTATCACTCGAGTAATATTGTTGTCCATCGGCCAATCCTTTGTTTTCTAAATAAATCACTCATTGTTTGCCTTACCTGTCTTATTTACAAATCAGATATAAGAAAACTAGCCCGCTGAGGGAAAGCTTTCCCAAATGGCTCTTCGAGATTGGACTCGAGAAGGGCAAGACACCTGTGACAGGGTTACAAAATATTAGTGCCTGGACCCTGCAGGGCGAGCCCGGATATGAAAATAAAAAATGGTACCAAATTTAACTTCAAGTTGAAAACCATGTAAAAGTTTGGACGAAGGCACATGACACATTTGATTTTTATGATCAATTTATAGTGTAGAGTAGGCATTGTGATGTTACATACAAATTTGGATCACAAGATGAGAAATGATGTACTCGATAGACCATGAGATGTAAAAGATTTCTAGGTCTTATTATGTGTGCTCCAGCTTCGCCATGTTTCTTGTTAATCGGTTACTTGACTGTTCCTTGATTCCTTGGCATATGGTTTTGCAGTTCATTGGATTCTTGGAGCCTTACACACCAGATGGCTTTCTCAACGGTTGGAAACACTAGAGCATGATCTGAGTGATGCACACTAGTTCAAATGTTCTGTAGAATGGCGGACTGATGTCTGAACTTATGTTGTATGTCTTGTTCAAGGTCGAAGGAAATGTCTTCTGTAAGGCCTGAAGGTGGAAGTTACAAGTACTTCCAATACTTTTTCCAAAATCTGGTTATAGGGGTTGTTGTTGTCTTAAATAGGCAATGTCATTGTTGCGTGTTGTTGCGTCGTATGCAACTGTGCCATGGCGAACATTGTAATTTTGGTGCACATCAGCTCTGAAAGCATCAGACCATCAGACAGATTTCTATGTTGTACTAACTTGTAAGGTGTTTATACATCAATCGCTTATTCTATCGGCACAACAATCGGAGCATGAAAGCACCCAGATAGTAGCACATCTTAAAGATTTACACAGGAAACACAACAGATAAAATAGTCATCCATCTTGCATGATTTATTCTTTTGTGGAAATGCGAAGCTGGAATGCTGACTTGTATCTGAGTTATAAAATACTTCAACTCGCTGACTAGGTGACATTACAAGGAGTGCTTGCTTCCCGTTGGTCATTTCGCACATAAAGATGAAAAAGGGTGACAAGGTTCATAATCTATATAGATAGATGTGTATGACTATTTCAGAATCTCAATGAGATTCCAACTGTAGGCGTAATGAGCAACTTCATTGTCAAGCCGACTTTTTGCCACCGAAGAGGAGATTCCAACTGTAGGCGTTGCCCTTCTTTGCAGCAGCATCCACTCGCTTCGCACCAACCTGGGTAAAAACAAAATAACCATCAGATTATATTGACAATGCAAGGTCTAGTAGTTGACAGAATAAAATAGCTGTTCAAAAATTGTTTCATTTTTTTTCCTGACTGCAGTCCTCAAAATTGCACAATAGGACTACGTTTTTTACTTCTCAGATTTCAGTCCCCTAGACGCATCAGCTTGACCAACAAGTTCTAACCATGCCACTGAACCTACTTATTTATTTATCAACTCTTGAACTACCATGAATGCAAAGCAAGGCACAACCCAGTCAGTATATTCAACAAATAAACCTTGAAAAACTAAGGAAATTTAGAATGACAAAATGGTGGAATGGTGGAACACCAACAATTTAGAGAAAAAGCCAGAAAACATAGAAGAAACTGTAAGAGACAAGGAACAAATGACAAAAACCTAAAATATTATTACAAAATTTCACAAAGAGAAGTACGAGGAATTTAATTTTATAAAATAAAAAATATTCTTGAAAAACCACTAAAGAATTAGAGAATTTTAAGAAATGGTAATGACAGCAGAAACTTGGAAGGAAAAAAATCATCTGTATTCTGAACAAACAAGATAATACAGCAAAACTCACAAATGATTTATACACATTTGTAAGAAAACCAAAATGTTTTTTAAGTGCGTGGAAACACTCTATTTAGCCTTATTGTTGCAGTCAATGTACTCCTGTATTTGTAAATTTATTTTCTTCAAATTCCCAGTTTCCAAAAAAATAATATTTGTAGCAATTTTCCTTTTTATCTCAGAGTATTTCTAAACTTGCCACTTGCCAGAATCTTAAATTTCTTCAAAACCACTGCTCATCATAAAAAAAACTTGCTGCATCTCATGGATGAAAAAGGAGCTTCCTATTCTCAAAGAAAAATTCCTCAAAAAAAGGGCTTCCAGAGCTTAGGGTCAGACATCCTTAGACTTATCAGTTTGAAGGTTGAGGGGTGAAATCTAAGGCCCCGCTTCGAACAAAGAAAAAATGAACTCAAATGATACAGAACAAAGGAACGGCTCCCAAAAATCTTCCGTACACATTTTGGAGGAAATCAACTATTGTTCAAAACACACGGAAAATTTCCACTTCGAAATCAAAGGAAATATTCCCCCATGTTTCCTTTCAAGTGATTCTTCCACCCACAAGTTTCCATGTTATACCTATCCTATATTCCAACTGGCTTCTCTTCTCTATTCACGTGTTTTCAATCTGTACAGGATGTGTGGGACTCTGAGCCATGCCGCTCTAATTCATGAATTTTCCACGTTTTTGCATTTTCCCTATCAATGTTCCAAATGGGCTAACTGTAGTTGCAGTATGAGAAAAAAAACTTTTTCTATTTTTGAGTCATATAAGTGTGACATCATGAAAGTGCTTTAAAGCTAAATACACTGATCAAGTTTGTCCACACGATTTCTACATGTGACAAGTTTGTTCTGACTGGAGGATGCAAAGACAGTTCACCAGTAGATAAGGAAAAGAAAAACACCAAACTAGAAAAGATTACCTTGTCCATAAGCCACCATCCAATTGTTGGCATGTATTGCACCACGTACATAACAGCCAGCACAGGCTGCAAAGGAAGTCACTAAAATTCAGATTCAATATGTAACATAAATATAGAATGACAAATCCACTATGCAGAGTGCCAGACATAAAATAGGAACTTCATGTCATAGATACTTGAACCAATAGTTTAACATAGTGATACAAGCTACAAACCCGTAGGTTACTACAACATAGTGATTGTACTTAACACATTATTATATTATAGAAGCTTTTATGTTAGTACATGCACTAGCTAACTGATGTTATTGCTCAGAGAAAACGTGGGCACAAAGTTTCAAGGATCCATTAGGGAAAGCTTATACTGTGTAAATGAGTCAGATATGGTGGTAAGTTTCTAGCATAATATATAACACGTGAGCATAATAAATTAAGACGTCAGGCTTCTTAAATGGTCCAACCAGTAATGTTCAGAATGAAATATACCTGATATGATATCCATGCTTCTTTTAGTCCATGAGTTGCGGCAACTATTGTCAGTTCAGCACATCTTTCCACTGAAACACGTTTCTGCATAGGTTAACAAGAATTAGTAAATATAAAAACAACGATTAGAGAAGGGGACTGAGAACCAACTTTCAGCAGTTAAGCAAGTACAAGATGTTAGGATGTGAGCAGAATGTGATAACGTATGTACAACAAAAAAACATTAAAGCAAGTCTAGACACAAACAACATGCATTTTAGGACACTGCTGGATTATGATAACCTCATTCGATTCAGCAGTTGCAATTATTGGGCTTGTTCTAACACATGTGGGATGAATGTCTGGATAAAAGAATTTATCTAACCTTAAGACTATGAAACACAAAAGATGGTAGCTAATAGAATTTTACATAGCTTCATTTTCACATAAGATTTGGAAATGAGCACGGCAAACTATGCTTAGCTGAGATGAGGTCTTTGTGTGACTTTGTCAAGCAAACTACTTCCGTTTGTTCGAAAAAAATAAAGAGAAGTCTAATAAACAAAGCATAACCTCGGATGAATGCCTTTGTGATGAAGAAGTTGCACCAGAAGGTACTGGTGTTTCAATAGGTCCAGGACAGACAACAGTGACCTTAATGCCTTTCGTACATAACTGCAGCATGGAAGATATATAGCTTGAGCAACATAGTCGCGAAAAAACAAACAAAACATACAGGAAAACAACCAAATATCTACAGAGAACCATCTAACCATGAAATTCCATTTGAACAGAAAATACAGTCAATGCTCTTGATAACAGAAGAAAGATTGTCTATGAATACTTGTTGATAACAGAAGTGGATAATTCATATGCATATAAATTTAGCATACCCAGAATGTATTATGTTGCAAGCTTAACGAGCTAAAGGTATGATTTTAATACCTCAGAGCGCAGAGAAGCAAAGTAGCCATTGAGAGCATGTTTGGAAGCAGAGTAAAGAGCCTGACCAGGTGTGGGCACCTTTCCAGCTGCACTACTCATCTGTGAATAGCGAGTTAGCTACAATAATAACCTAATAGAAATCATGTTGATAATAAGTTCTGTTACAGACATACCACAACAAAATGACCCATCCCTCTATCCAACATGAAAGGTGCAAGAAGGCGAGTCAAAGTAATTGTTCCAAAGACATTGACATGAAAAGTAGCCTGCATAAAAAGAAATAGTTAGCAGGGAGTTACGTTGTCAATAACGATATAAAGAACAAAGTAAAAGATGGTTCACATACCTTAAGACCTTCCTCAGTTTCTTCCAGGGCCCCCCTTTTCTGCAATTTTATTGATTTATTTAGCAAGCAAAAACTTGTGGTGGTTGTGTAGCTAGACTAAAAGGGATTTAGGCTGATAGAAAGTGTATGATAATATTTACTGGACGCTCAAAGGCCGCATTGTGCATCATATAGTCAATGCCTGCACTGGAAAAGAGTGATTCCGCTGAATGTACAACTTCTTTCAGAGATTCTTCATCAGATGATAAATCCATAGGTAACACTTCAACTTTGCTATCTGGATGCTTGCCTTGGAAGAATAAAGAGAACAGGAAAAACATGAAATTCAAACTTGGTCCAGAACTCAGATTTCCGACAACATGAGTTTTTCAAACTTACTGATGATGTTACGTTTCACTCTCTCAAGCTCCTCCTTGTTACGTGCAGATAGTATGAGCTTTGCTCCTAAACTCGCAAACTGCATCGAAAGAACCTCCCCTGGCATTACAAGAAATTATTCTGGTTATCGTGGAACAATATGCTAAATTTAGCAAACATATCATGAAGTTTAGCAAAAGGATGACATGTATTGGATAAAATAACATATATCCAATTATCAAAACTTAAAGTGAACCATGAATAGGTTTTACGTGAATTAGCCATTTAATACTACACTGCAACAAACATAAGGCAGCCACTAAACCTACAAAATACCTTTCACTAATGAACAACATGTAATACCTCCATCTGGCTTAAAAAATCATACAATCAGCTTTGAGAAGTGCAATTTTGCTTACATTAAGCGGCTTAGCAGGTCATCACAAAATCTATAATTCTCTTTCTGTATTACCGTTCACTGATTAGCATATTTGCAATATCAGTTATGATGCAGACACCCCCTCTGTGACCAACTGACCATTGACCAATGTCATTACAGATCTACAGATATGCACACCAAAGTTCTCAGAGCAAGATAGTTGCATTACAAGGTTTTCCAAATATAAGGTTCCCATCAAAACAAAGCATGAGCATGGCAGATAAAACTGGAAACAAGGCCAGGTCAGGGATATAAAAAGTAATCTTCTAACCACTGTCCAATGGTGATCCACTAATAAACTAGCACAAAAAGTTCTATCGATTCGTCCTCTGTCTATAACTAGAGAATATGCGATCAACACAGCATTAATTAATACTAAAAAAGCATATGTACCATAGCATGATCTCATCATCGGGCGCAATTCTTTATTTTGTGACCGTCACCCTAACTGAAGCAATACACCTAAAGTTTAGCACTCAGGACATGCGCTTAAAACAAAGATCAAGTTCAACAACTCCACAGTCATAAATCACAACCACAACAAAAGGGTTGGCACCTAAGAAATCATATCAATCACACCCAATTTACTATGACCAAATTCCTTTTTCTTTTCATTTCTGACGATGAAATTCACCCAATTCAAGAGATAGAGAAGTAAACTCACCAATCCCACGGCTCGCTCCCGTGATCCATACAACCTGAAGGGCACCAAAGAAAGGAAAACACAAGCATACATAATTCAGACAACGAATCCAACGAGATGATAAGCAAGACAAGGGAGCAGCAAACACCAACCTTGCCGTCCACTTTGTCCCGCCGCGCCCGGCCGCACGACAAGAGGGTGAAATCTCCTGCGCCCAGCCAAGAACGAGAGCGATTAGCCCCCCAGCCAGCAGAGAGGAATAGAGGGGGGAACGAAGCACAGAGGGGGATACTTGGATATGCCTAGGTTCGATCGGTGGGCGGAAGGGGGGGGGAGAGAATGGAGACGCGGCGCTGCTTACCGTCGGCGGTGGCGAACTTGAAGAGGAGGAAGGCGGCGGCGCCGGCGCCGGCGAGGAGCGCGAAGAGGAGGAGCATTATCGGCTGTCGAGCGGTGCGTGGTCCACGGCGGCGGCGCGTTCTCTCGCTGTTTTGATGTGAGCGCGAGGGAGTGTGACCGTGTGAGTTGCTGGGTGGAGAATTTCCGGTTGTGCTTGTTTGGCGTGGGTCTGTTCTCTGTTGCGGAAGTGGTTATGGGTCGGCTGCAGCCGCAAAGATGCTACGCCGCGAAAGTGGCTGCAACCTGCAACGATCTGACAGCGTGGACGTGACACTACTTATAGGCACAACATAGCACTTTGAACAAGCATTCACACTGCATTATAGGCACTTTGAGTTGAATGAAACCCTTAATTGACACCCTAGTCGAGTCGATATGAAACTCTAAATCCTACCCTAAACCCGAGTTGACACCTAAATCGAAGCCTCAAGTGCCTACATGAATCCCTAAATCAGGTGGACAAGGGCTTACCGTCATTGACGAAGACATGACAAAGGAGGTGAAGAAGCCGATGGGAAAAGGAGTGATTCTGGACTTTTAGGATAGGAGATCTGTTAGAGATGCCCTTATAAGCTCCCAATCAAAGGATATATAAAAACACCTTTACAACTCCATTGGTGAGTATAGGTATACAATTGGAGGGGGCGTACACAAATCGAGTCTACCCAGGAATGATATTGTTAACCTCAGTAGAATCGCTTTGGGCATGAATGGATTCTTAATTTTGTTTTGTAGCATTGCTTGACCTAGACTGGTGGCGTTATTTATACAGATTTATTCATTGGTTCCCAACTAACGGGAGGTGGTTGAGTAGTCACTGTGGAGTGGGAGGAGGTGCACCAGCGCTAGCCCTGAGGCCACGTCAGAGGTGGAGGCTTCTCCCTTCTTCGTCCTTTTTGGATCCCAGCGTGGATGTGTTCTTCCCTTGCTCTTGGACGTACTTGAGGTGTTCTTCAAGGTGGGGTGAAATGGAGGCTGTCCTCCTTGCCTGCTAGGTGACTTACACACGGCTCCCTCAAGATGGATGCATATATATAGCTCATGCTAAGCCCTCTCCTTCATTGATCACCCACTTCCATCCAAGGGCTAGAAGGTGGACTATATCCTCTGAATAGCTTCCTTATCTTCTCCTGAAAGAAGGAAACAAACCAGGGATAAATCAGAGTTAAAACAAGAAAGTTACAATGCTTTTCGTGATCCCAACCACACAAGCACCAGTACAATGACACGCGATCGGACTGATGGTCGACTATCCTTCTAGTCTCGTGCAATGTTTTGTATTTTGACTGCCCTTTCTTCACTCCGGCTTCAATTGAGGTGATCTTGAGCTCATTGGATTCATATTGATGGGACACACAACATCTAAGTATTAGATCTTCAATTAGTGCATATTGTGGGGAATTCATGTGTCAAAATCTCCATCGGCCTTGCATCTAGTGTTATTAACTTCTTCAGATGAATCCCAACTTGGCTCTATCCATTAAGTCCATGGGAGTTCCAAAATACCTTTGCATAAAAAACAACGAAAACCTACAAAAAAAACTATAATCAGTATGTAGTGCTCATGATTAAAAGGTACGAAATCGGGTAACTCTACAAAACAAGCATAAAAGGGGCTCAACAGAACATGATATGAGGAATTTTAGTGTCATGATATGCAACAAATGAGCCAAAAAACATGGTGCACTTGAAAGCCAAACTTTAGACACGTCAAGCGACCAACAAAGATTTTGAAGCAATTTTTTGGAGCACTTGAAAGCCAACCTACTCCCCTCTTGGAACCTTTTCTTAGTATACTCCATCTACCTTTGCTCCATCCTCCAATTCTTAGTAAGAAAGAGATTCTACATTTTCTTGAAGAGTTTATTAAAGATCTATTGGGGAGTTCATTCAAGCGACTTTACTCTTTTTATTACTCTTAGAGGGTGTGCGCCTCTCCTAGAGAGTTAGGAAGTCATTGAGAGCCTTCAAGGCGTGAAGGAATCAACAGTCTATACAAGGCCCTAGTGATCACCTTCTTCGTGAAGATCATCCCCGATTGAGGCTTAGACCTCTGCGGTATCAAACCATGGTGAGATAGGTGGACAAATTCTTAGGCTCTTTGTGGGTGGCTGCTACCTCTTGAGCTTGCGTTGGTTTTTCCCTTGAAGAGGAAAGGGTGATGCAGCAAAGTAGCGTAAGTATTTCCCTCAGTTTGAGAACCAAGGTATCAATCCAATAGAAGACAACACACAAGTCACCGAATACCTACACAAACAATCAACATCTTGCACCCAACGCGGTAAAGGGGTTGTCAATCCCTTCACGCTCACTTGCAAAAGTGAGATCTGATAGAGATAGATAAACATAAAGTAAATATTTTTGGTATTTTTGGTTTATAGCTAGATCAGAAAGTAAAATATTGCAAAATAGTGGATGGGAAACTAGTAAGACGTAAACGAGAACTTATATGATGGAAAAGAGACCCGTGGGCCATAAGTTTCACTAGTGGCTTCTCTCAAGATAGCAAATATTACGGTGGGTGAACAAATTACTGCCGAGCAATTGATAGAAAAACGCAAAGTTATGACGATATCTAAGGCAATGATCATGAACATAGGCATCACGTCCGTGTCAAGTAGACTGAAACGATTCTGCATCTACTACTATTACTCCACACATTGACCGCTATCCAGCATATGCATCTAGAGTATTAAGTTCATAAAGAACGGAGTAACGCATTAAGTAAGATGACATGATGTAGATGAATTAACTCAAGCAATATGATGAAAATCCCATCTTTTTATCCTCGATGGCAACAATACAATATGTGCCTTGCTGCCCCTACTGTCACTAGGAAAGGAAACCGCAAGATTGAACCCAAAGCTAAGCATTTCTCGCATTGCAAGAAAGATCAATCTAGTAGGCCAAACTAAACCGATAATTCGAAGAGACTTGCAAAGATATCAAATCATGCATATAAGAATTCAGAGAAGAACCTAATAATATTCATAGATAATGTAATCATAAATCCACAATTCATTGGATCTTGGCAAACACACCACAAAAGAATATTGCATCGAATAGATCTCCAAGAACATCGAGGAGAACATGGTATTGAGAATCAAAGAGAGAGAAGAAGCCATCTAGCTACTAGCTATGGACCCTTAGGTCTGTGGTAAACTACTCACGCATCATCGGAGAGGCAATGTTGTTAATGTATAAGTCCTCCATGATCAAATCCCCCTCCGGCAGGACGGCGGAAAAGGTCCCTAGATGGGATCTCACGAGTACAGAAGGTTGCGGTGGTGGAAAAGTGGTTTCGTGGCTCCCCTAGATGTTTTTAGGGTATAAGAGTATATATAGGCGAAGGAGCTAGGTCAGGGGAGCTACGACAGGCCCACGAGGTAGGGGGTGCTCCCTACCCCCTTGGGAGGGTGCCCTCCTGCCCCGTGGCCGCCTCGTTGCGTCCCCGACTTCATTCCCAAGTCTTCTGGTTTCCTTTCGGTCCAAGAAAGATCATCGCAAAAGTTTCATTCTGTTTGGACTCCGTTTGGTATTCCTTTTCTACGAAACTCTAAAATAGGCAAAAAAACTGGCACTCGGCTCTCGGTTAATAGGTTAGTCCAAAAAATAATATAAAATAGCATATAAATGCTTATTAAACATCCAAAACAGATAATATAATAGCATGGAATAATAAAAAATTATAGATAAGTTGGAGACGTATCAGTGACCTTACCTAGGCCTTGGTGACCTTAGGAATTGTCTGAACCTTCACCAATAAGGGCTGCATTGATAATCCGAACCTTGGGAAGACGTCATCGTGTTTGTTGTGTTTGCAATCTCTTTTCTTGCTCCTACTTTATTGCAAGTTTTGCTTCCGCACTTTATTTTGTTGTAAACGTGCATGTGTAGGTTCCCCCTGGACAACCTAGTAGAGAACACCCCTCTTTACCATAACTCGACCATACACCTCTGTTTGTGATTTCTTGGCGCAAGATTGGGACCTTTTGTTGCATAGGTTGACTTTTGATGCAAGTTCATATTGTGTAGCATCAGTATAAAAACATCTTCAACTAATCTTGATTCGGTGTTGAATCAGGCCGACACATGAGTTATAGACATTATAATTTTTTAAGAATCGTATGCATGTAATATTTTGTGTTAGAGAAACTATTGTTGCATATATGTAGTATTTTTGTTGCATATATTTGGGTTTCATTGCATAGTTTTTTTATTTGATCTTATGTGTTTAGTTTGTGTGTTGCCTCTGATTTCGGGTTGAATTTTGTAGGAGCCGCCAAGTGATCGCCGACTTTGAATAATTTTGATTTATGATGACCATACCTATCTACAGGTTCTTGAAGAGTTAATGAGCGAGAGATTCTATAGTTCTTGAAGAGTTGATTAAAGATCTATTTGGGAGTTCATTCAAGTGACTTTACTCTTCTTGTTACTCTTGGAGGGTGTGTGCCTCTCCTAGACGGTTAGGAGTCATTGAGAGCCTTCAAGGTGTGAGGGAATCAAGAGTCTGTACAAGGCCCTAGTGATCATCTTTTTTGGGAACAACATCCTCGGGTGAGGCTTAGACCTCTGCGGTATCAAGCCATGGTAAGATAGGTGGACAAAAGTGCTTAGCGGGCAACCTTACCTAGGCCTTGGTGGCCTTAGGGCTTGTCCGAACCTTCACTGATAAGTAGAATTGCGCCAATAATCCGAACCTTGGGAAGACGTCATCATGTTTGCAATTTCTTTCTTTACTCCTACTTTGTTGCAAGTTTCGGTTCTGTTAGAATATATAACCATATTGTATTTGTATAGATATACGGTTGTATATGTGTAGTCCTTGTATAGGTGTCCGTGTATTGCACGATACAAACTCTGCCTTGTAACCTCTATATATTGATCAATACAAGGCACCGTAACACATGGTTTCCCAAATCTTACATGGTATCGAGCCTAAAACCCTAGTCTGTGTCGCCTTCCTCCTTACGCCGCCACTGAAGCCACCACCCCACTCGCCGCCGCACCCACACCGCCGCCTCCATGTCGCAGC